ACCTTCCTTCTCTGCATCATGTCAGCCAGCTCTCTACCTTCCTTCTCTGCATCCTGTCAGCCAGCTCTCTACCTTTGCCTGTCATTGTCCCCACATTTAGAGTTGCTACCCTCTCAAGTAATGTAACGTGCAGGCCTTTCTTTTTTTTATAAAATGATTATGGAAAAACCGGAGAACCTGAAGAAAACCCAAGCATGCATGAATAGAACTCGCAACTTCACTCAGAAAGGTCCCTGGCTGAGATTTGATCTGGTAACTTTCTTGCTGAGAGGCGGCAGCTCTACAAACTGTGCCACCGTGCAGGCTTTTTTAAAATAAAATGATTATGGGAAAAACCGGAGTCCCCGGAGAAACCCCCCACAGGTGTTGTCTTCACACAGAACGGCCACAGCAGAGCAGTGAGGGGGGAAATGCATAAATGTTCATGTTTTAACTGGGATTTGTCTGAATGTAAATGGTGAAATGTTCTAGCAGACACAGTTTTTATTCAAATTTTCAAACGCATCTTCTACCAATCGTTGAAAAACAACTGCAACTGTTGCTGAGAAAAAAATCTCTCGTGGCAAAATTCAGTGAGCTTTTGAAAAGAGAACCCCAACGTCTGCCTAGACTCTGAGTTGCTGATGTCTCAGAGGCATCAAACAGTGATTTTTCGTATGCCTAGACGTGTCCACACACCAAACAGAAGTTGGTACATCACTCATTTTTCAAGTTGTCATGCTTACAACACGGACGGACGGAGGGTATTTCTAATTCCCCCTCTTCGCCCCACGATGGGGGACAACAAAACATGCAGGCAGTAATCACTGGATGTACACCTCCAGCTGAAGAACGTTTGGAGTCTGTCTCATCAGAGACTCTACAACTGATCAACAAAAAAATGGCTATAACTCATTCAGTGTGTTGTTAGTGTTATAATATTTATTTTAAGGTTTGATCAAAATGACTATAACGTGATCTAAGTGTAAAACTGGCATGAACTTTGGTGGGCAGGATGCAAACCTTCAAAAACAATTTGGCCTTTAATATAATCAGCTTTTAGTATTTTGTGACTGGAGATTAATTCTCATGTTTTCCTATTTGTCAGGTTGTGAGCCAATTCCCCTGAACTACCTGGAGTGGAGCAACCCAGAGTCCATCATCCAAGTGGTCTTCTCCTGCCTGGGCATCCTGGTGACGTCATTTGTGGCCTTTGTATTCGTCTTGTACCGGGACACACCTGTGGTGAAGTCCTCCAGCCGGGAGCTTTGTTATATCATACTGGCAGGGATCTTCCTGGGATATCTGTGTCCTTTCACCCTCATTGCGCGACCAACCGTGGCCTCCTGCTACCTTCAGAGGCTTCTCGTCGGACTCTCAGCTGCCATGTGCTACTCCGCCCTCGTGACCAAAACCAATCGCATCGCCCGCATCCTGGCAGGCAGCAAGAAGAAGATATGCACCAGGAAGCCCAGGTTCATGAGTGCTTGGGCTCAGATGGTCATCGCCTCCATCCTGATCAGTCTCCAGCTTACGTTGGAAGTTACCCTGATCATCATGGAACCCCCTGAACCGATAAAATCCTACCCCAGCATCAGAGAGGTCTTCTTGATCTGCAACACCAGCAACCTAGGTGTCGTAGCTCCACTCGGCTTCAACGGTCTACTCATCATGAGCTGCACCTACTACGCCTTCAAAACCCGCAACGTTCCTGCCAACTTCAACGAGGCCAAGTACATCGCTTTCACCATGTACACGACGTGCATCATCTGGCTCGCCTTTGTGCCAATCTACTTCGGCAGCAACTACAAGATCATCACCACGTCCTTCTCCGTGAGCCTCAGCGTGACCGTTGCTCTGGGGTGCATGTTCACGCCAAAGATGTACATCATCATTGCTAAACCGGAGCGAAACGTGCGCAGTGCGTTCACCACCTCCGACGCTGTGCGCATGCACGTCGGAGACGGCAAAATGGCCTGCCGAAGCAACAGCCTGCTGAACATGTTCAAGAGGAAGAAGAACACTGAAAATGGAAGGTGGGTTCATTAACTGAGGCTGTGCTCCTGAGGTTCCTCAGGGATGCTGCCTTTTCTCTAGTTCCCTCTCAAAGGAAGCTCGACATCTAATCTGTATTTACTTTCATAAAAACACCTGTTGTAAAGTGAGACAAATATAGGTCAGGGCTCAATTCTCACAGCCATTTCAACCTTTGATCCACCGCTTAAATTAAAGCAAGAGTCTCTGAGGGATGGAGCAGATCGCACATGCAGATACATGCAAGGTTTCTTCAGGGTTCACGTAGCTAACAATACCGCAGAATGTGAATCTAAGACATAAGCGAGCTACGTTCAAGGCTTTTAATCACGCACCGCCTGTGTGCGTTTGTCTGCTCACAAAATGTCTCGTAAACTCTAAACTAGATTTTAATGAAACCTTCGGAAAACAACCGTTAGCTCTTCTTCAACAAGTCTCACACCTAGCAGTCGTAGCTAACACTAAACTTACTATAACTCAGTTAAATTTACTGATATTGAGCTAAAATTTACGAGTCATTCTCAACACACAGGCTGAGTGCAACAGATCTTGTAAAATCTTGTGATTTTTGTGAGATTGCACATAACGTCATTACGAAGTTTGTCCAAAGCAGCTTTAACTTCATCCCACGCATCATGAGAAGATCTTAGTTCAAAACTCGAGCATGAAAGGCAGCGGGCAATTTGCATTTCTTCAAGGAATTAGTATTTGTCAAAGAATACAGCCTTTCATTTTTTTTAATATTGTAAATTCTGTTTGATTACCTTCAGAGGTCCTGTAACTCAGTTTACAGGATTTTTAAAGAAAGTAAAATTAGCCTAATTTTGAAGCGTGTTTTTTTTTTTACATGAACCAAAAATGCTGTTCTTGTCTTCACCTTTCTGGGTTCCTGTGGAGTAACGGCCATCTTTATTTCGTTCATAGTTCTAATGGAAAGTCTGTGTCATGGTCTGAACCAGGTGCAAGACATCCTCCGAAAGGGGATCACATGTGGCACAGACTGTCAGTGCACGTGAAGAGACAGGAAGCAGGTTCCAATCAGATGGCTGTCATCAAACCCTTAACTAACACCTACCAAAGCTCAGCCCGGGAGTTCTCAGACCTCAGCACCAAGACTTTGTACAACGTGGCTGAGGAGGATGAAAGTGAGCCTCTCAATTACAACTCCCCTGCCTCACCCCCCATGATGGCCCATGGGCAAATGCCGGCCCGCGGGCAGATAAAAGATGTGGGCGAGGAGGTTGAGATCTATTCCCCCAAGCTTCTCCAACAGAATAGCATCGTCCCTCAACATGGCGTCACTGAACACCTCCAGGAAGAGGTGGCTTTAAACAACAGTGGCATCCCTGAGTTCAGCATCCCTCAGGCTGTGAGCAGTGGCATGCCGGTGTATCACCAGGCTCACCTCATCCAGCAGGACCCGGTCCTGCCTGTCCATCTCGACCCATTTGACGATGAGCCATTAGATGAGGAAGAGGAGGAGAATGAGCAGTTTGGCCTTCTCCAGGGCTGCAGGTACAACAATGCCCAGGTTCATGACGAGGGTAACTTGGTTGACGTCAAACTTGCAATGGAGGCCTCTGTTGCTCTGATGCCCCCCTCCCCTTTTCGTGATTGCACTGGATCTCCGGTGAGTCCGTTCCCCAACTCACCGGTGTCCGAGTCAATCCTGTGCACCCCTCCAAACGTGACATACGCCTCCGTCATCTTCAGAGACTTCAAGCAGAGCTCATCGACTCTGTGAGCGAGCTCCAACGATGTTTTAAGCTCTGCTACATGTTCAAGCTCATATTTTACTGGGCTGCGACTGGTTGGTGACTGGTGCTCACTGAGGGGTCTCCAAAGGGTTCGCTGTGGAGCGCTTCTCTGACAGAACATGTCTGTGTCTCAACATCATCTTAAAGATTAAAAACTAGTCTAAATCTATCTTTATTATTCGATTGTACTTCAGTAGAATAAATTATAAATGTGGCTGCTGCCAAGGTAAAGACAACGTCAGCTGGAGCGGGTACGATATGACCGGAGGTGGACCACAAAATGTGCACGGCCAGTTCAAACACTGCTTGATGTCACCTGGGGCCTCGTGTATCAAAGAGTGTGCAGTTTTAATTCTGAAGTTGGGGACAAATTGAGGAACGTGCACACACACAGAAATATTCAGATTTATCAAACTGTGCACGTTTCTACTCACCTTTGCTCCATACATCCCAGCAGATGAGGAACTGAAACGCCTCCCCTGACCCATCTGTGTTTAAAAATGAAAAATTGTGACAAATATGTTTTGCATGTGGGATTCCCATCTCTGCACGTTAAAATGTGTCTACACGCAGCAAAATGAGGATTTGAATGGAGTGTGCGTCAGAGACTTTACTAAATACGTATTGGGCTGTAACGTCATGTTTGCCACACGTGCAAAGAGGAGCGTGTGTGATGTCATTGGTTGTCACCGAATGAAGTAAACTGGGGATGCTGAGCTGCTGGTGGCGCACTTCAGAGTCTGAGGAGTGTCCAACTTTACGCACGTGTTTAACAACATAACTACTGTAAGCACAGGAGCACTCAGGGGCTTGGCTTAAAGCTTCTTCTTTAAAAAGTTGATGAGAAGAAACGAGTTGCTGCGATTCAACAAAGCGCTTCAGCCACAGTTTGAGAAACTTTACATATAATCTGCTCATCAAAGGGACGAGAGCGTCCCAAACAGCTGGCACGAGGATCCCCACCTGTAAACGTCAGTTTGCACTGGACTCAGGTTGTTTGAATCATTTTTGAGACGTGTTGCGCTGTATGAGGTGACATGTTCAGCTTTAAATTGTAAATTCACAAACTCTTGAAAAACATTGAGTTTAAATGCCCCTTACGTTCAGAAAACCAAACTGAGTCGTAGTTTGGTGTATTCAGGATGTTTGCATGGAGGTAAACACATTCTCATGGCAGGTCAGAAATGTTTGTAAGTTTATGAACGTTCGTCCGCCTGTGAGTGGAACCTGGCACACGCAGCGTTTTTGTGCGTACGCACCATTGATGCACGAGGCCCCTGGTCACAAACACTCTAAACTAACTTGGATTGCTTCAACATATTCACAGACTTATCTCATGATTTGGAGTTGTTGACTCGTCTCCAGCAGTCAGAGTCCAGTGAGATCCTGCCGACCAGTCGCACTGCAAGTGATCTGCGGCAGGGCTCTTCAACTAAACAGCTCAGGGGCCACAGTTCCTGAGAGCCGGGAGCTCAGGAGCCGAACATCCAGCAGTTATTGTCATTAAGTAAGTTTCTTTTATGGTTTCAAATCTAGTTTTATTTAAATGAACCCACTGGTGGGCCGAACTGAGCTCACCCGTGGGCCTGATTTGGCCCCTGGGCCACCAGTTGAATGGCCCTGAGCTATGGTGGAAAAGTCACTTTGAGGTCTGACAAGTCATTTTATGTTTTAATAACTTTGATCTAACAGGGGTAAAACTGTTCCTACCATAAAAATGATCAAATATGTTGTATGGTGTTGTGAAAAAACTTTTTTTTGCCAGTATATTGTATCATTCTGACTTAACTTCTTAGGATAATGTAGATTTTGTTCTTTAAGAGTAATAATGTTGTGAGACAAGCAACTGATTTTAAACCAGTCAGTATGGTACTAAAGAAAGCTATTCACATAAAAACAGGTTAGAAAAATGTATTTTGAGTTGCATATTGTATGAACGGAGATATCAACAACTTTGTTGGGGAAAATTAATCTTTAGCCGTATATATTAATACAGCCCTGTACAGTATGCACCTGGTACTTTCCTGGAATCTACTGGGTACTTACCTGGTGTGTAAAGAGTGGAGAAGTAAGAGGGAAAAGTTTTAGTACACACACACACACACACACACACACACACACCATATTATGAATGGTCAACAGCATGTGTTTGTGTGGGGAACGATGAGGCAAACTTGGATTCTGGAGTCCAAAAAAAAAAAAGAAAGAAAAGGCGTGTTATGACTAAAATCCAGATGTTACTTGTATTTTTAATAATATAGGATTTTACTATTAAAAATAACTGTTAAAGATTTACCAGCTTGTACTGGCGTACCCGACTCGAAGGATGTTAGTTCACGTTATATAATGATTTATTTCCTCTCCCTAATACTCATGACCAACAACCAGAAGCCTAATTTCCTGCCAGTCAAAGCAGAGGGAATATTTAAATCAGAGGTGGACAGGAGCGTTTCACGAACGCGTAAGGATCCAGATGTGTTGCTCTACTCGCATGTTAAACGATCACATCTGGTTTTTGGTTAAGGTTTAAATTACCAACAGATTTACTGTTTCCTGACCGTAACGATCCTCCTCTACACATCGACTAAATATGAGAAATACCTCGTAGGTACCAGCTGGTTCCACGTTAGTACCAGGTACACGTTTGTATTTGTGTTACTGTAAGATTAAAGTAGAAGATGTTGTCATGTGTGTGCACTGAAGAGGGAGACTGGGACCAGGCTAACATCAGCTACATCAGCCCAGCACAAAGCGTAGACAGATTGTATGTAGAGAACGATCATGTAACCATTTGGTTTTACATGGAAAATTCATATAAAAGTGCCTTAAAGGGATAGTTGACATTTTTTGAAACAATGAACCGTTTTCCTCCTGCAGACGGAAGGACCTCAGTTTAAAGGATCAGGAGAATCGAGGAGTCAGTTTTCAAGGATCTTCCTCAGTTCAAAGAAGTTTCAAAAAGTTTGTTTCATTTTAAACTTTTATGCTGCGTTCCTTTTGCTTTACCAGCCAAGTTGGAACAAGTTCTATGTCCTCTACACGTTTCATTTGAAGTACCACGTGTTACTAAATGCAGTGTTTATAGTACTCCGTCTGTGTACGTGTGTGATGTAAAGGTAGTGATGAACCAATTATCTCCAGGACTTTGGTGTACTCCCACAGACCAGAACATCCAACATTTAACCAACAGTTCTAATGGTGAGGACGGCCACTTTGGTTTTTCTTCATGTCTGTGTGTGTTTAGGGGTCAATCAATCTGTTAGCAAAATATCTTGACCCTATCAACCACTGGATGAATTTTAATGGAACAAGCAGAAAGTAATTATTTGATGTACATCTACAACTGATTTACTTTTAGGAGTCAGCTGACCTTAAAACATGCAACAACAACAAAAAAAGGATATAACTTAGTCAGCTAACAGGTACTGAGCTAAAACTGGAGGTGGTAGTAGCTGAGAGTCATTCACAGCACGTACTTTAAACATAACTTCTTCAAAAAGATCAGAAGAGCTGGTGCATATTAACGTTTTCAGTTGAATCAAAATACAAACGTCTAAAAACATGAAAGTCAGTGGATGATGTGCATTTCTTTGATCAGTGCTTTTATTTTTTAGGTATTTCCTGTCCAGTTATGGTCAACCAGACCAAGATGACGACAATCAACCAGCTCATTCTTACACACGGTCTATAAATCACAGTCTCCTGTTCATTAGTGGCGTCTTAAAATTGGAATATAGCAGCATATTTAAGGAAACTGCAAAAAATAGAAACGTACAAAGCAAAGCCTCATCTGTGCCACGTCCTTTAAATGACCTTCACCGTACACTACCTGTGTTGTTATTTTTTTATTGAGTCATTGTGATGAACTTTAGATTTTATTTTTCCTGTTTTTGATTTTATTTGAAGAACAAATTAGTGATCATGGTCGTTACGTTGCAAAGCACTTAACCTGTAATGTATTAATTTTATAGAGGCGGCGTTTAACTTAAGGTGTGAGGAACTACAAACTATTCTCTATTAGCATGTGCACGTGCAAACATTTTACTATTTATTTTTACTGATTGATTTCCTTACAGACAAAAGCACGCTCTTCACATGTGAAAATCATGTTTTCATGTGTAATTTCACATTAAATTAACAGGTGAAACATGTTTTAGCACAGTTCCAGTGTGAATCTGAATTAAACATGTTCTCATGATCATATGCGCTAAATCGGTTTTGCACATGGAATCACGTGTAAAAAACCTGAAGAGGTTTTTCTTTAACTGTTTATCATCGCCTGCCACAAAAAGGCGAAGGTGAGGTAGTAGCTGAGAGTCACCCCCAACATGCACTCTGAGTGCACGTGAGATCTTTGCTTAAAGCACTGCCCATAAGCAACAAAGTCAGCTTTGTCTGCATGTTAGCAAAATATTTCACAAGCAGAGGACGGATTTCAATGAAACTTTCAGAAATTAATTATTGAATAAACAACTGATTCAAGATGGCTGCCACAGCTGCTCAACCGTAGCAGAGTAAAATATGTAGTTGTTATTAATGTCGCCCCCACAAGAGGGAAACTTTATCAACCAGAGTATTAAACCATTTGTTCAGTTAGCGTTTTGAAATGTTTAGAAAGTTTTATTTCATTTATTTATTTATTTTTTACTGTAACGTGAATGTAGCAGAGGACAAATTCAAGTGCCACATTATCATCATTAATGGGTTGTTTTTTACATTTATTTCAAATTTATAGTCATGAAAGCTAATTAAGCAAGATGTTTTATAACATTTATAATTTCACATCTTATTTCAGAATGAGAGATAATTGTTTAGTATAATTTAAAAGCCTAAATAATGTAGCATACACATTTGGTGAATGTATGAATTGTGTTTTTTATTTATTTATTTGTTGCAATAAGATGGTATTATTTCTACAAACTTTAAATAAAAATATTTTATTTATTTGTTTAATTTTATTTATTTATTTATTTACTTATTTATTTGT